GGAGGCTGAGAACTGGCAAATTTGTAGTACAACTGTAGTACGCGCAGCGATCTGTGGAGCTGGAAGATGAGAACTGGCGACTTTGTAGTACCACTTTAGTACGCGGAGCAAACTGGGGAGCTGGAAGCTGAGAACTGGCGACCTTTGTAGTACAACTTTAGTACGCGGAGTATCTGTGGAGCTGGAAGCTGAGAACTGGCGACTTTGTAGTACAACTCTAGTACGCGGAGCAAGCCGTGGAGCTGGAAGCTGAGAACTGGCGACTTTGTAGTACTACTTTAGTACGCGGCTGAGTCATCTCTATTCTGTATTTTGCTCCATTGGTCGGTTCCAACTTGTTTTGTCAAAGAACATCGCAGCTCGGCGAATCAGCCTGCCACATGCCCATTTCCTATAGGTTTATTCTTTTGGAAACTTCCGCCGCCGGCTTGCCCGGGAACTACTTGTATGTGAGGGTCTCACGACTGGGCAACTTGTGACTCGACTTGGTAGACAACGGGCTCTAAAAAGAGTACATGCAGGTGCACAGAACACATGTTCCGCCTGCAATCCACCTGACGCAATTCTCTTTCCTTCCGCCTCTGAAGGCTCCCGAGGCCGACGGCCAATCAGGATTCCGACTGCGGAGGTGGGCCTACAAAGATGGGCCCCCCTAGTTGGAGAACTTGTAAAGTGCCGTAACATATGTTATAACATGGGTTAACTGATGTTGTAAGCTGGTCTAAGATTGTGAAGTGTTCTAAGTTCTTGGTGGTATTTACGTTGCAGTTACAAATTACTTTCGATATATATAAGTAAGTTATCCTAGTTTATGTTGGAGGGTGCTAAATTAGTGCTAAATCACTTACAACTTACTTAGGGAACTTAGGTTTTTTGCATTGAAAAAGCTATGTTTTTTGTGGACGGGTTTGCAGAGAAGCGTTTTTCAATGTTTTTTGGTGTACTCTTCTTGTTTGTGTAGAACTGAGACTGATTAGCAAATCTTTGTATTTTGTGTTGTTTTGGAAACATTTTTTCTGTTTTTATGGGCGCGATTGTTTTTTATGTTTTAGTCGTGAAAAATTTGTGGGGTGGTGGTCCACCCGTACGACAGAGTAGTACTTTGCACACAGAAACACATAAATATGCAACACGCACACGTAGTAGAATATAGTGTAACGAATCCATTATGTAGGCCATGGAACAACTAGAAGCCATTAAGCTGGATCACGCCCCAAAATTGAGGAGTAGATCCTTGCCTGTCCGTGACGCATCACAAGACGCACACACACACAGTCCCTCAAAAGATCTGATGTAACCTGATGAACAAGAGGCTATATGTACAGTAGATGTACGGGAATGTACGGTAATGTACGGTAGATGTACGGTAGATGTACGGCAGATCTACCGTACATCTACCGTACATGTACGGTAGATGTACGGGAGATCTACCGTACATCTACCGTACATCTACCGTACATTACCGTACATTCCCGTACATCATCGTACATCTACCGTACATTACCGTACATCTACCGTACATCTACTGTACATATAGCCTCTTTTTCATCAGGGTGCACCGCGTTTTTTGGGCACCGGCCACAACTTTTTGGACGGACCACCGCGATCAAAATTTTTGGACGGACCACCGCCATCAACTTTTTTGGACGGACCACCGCCTTCAATTTTTTGGACGGACCATCGCCTTCATTTTTTTGGACGGACCACCGCCCAGCGTGTTCCTAACACACAGATGTAGGTCATTGTGTGTGTTCTGTTTTTCTTACGCGCTTTGATGGTTTAAAGTAGAAAGTGTTTTTCTTTTAGCGCGGTGGTGGTCCACCGAAGAAATTCGAAGCGCATTTTTTTCTTTTTTTTGTTTTGCTGTTTGCTTTTCTTCAGCAAAGCGGCGCGGTGAGTGTTCTACATTAAAAACCCTTGCAACAGCAGCGCTTTCCCAGGTAAAAAGCATAGTTTTTCGATGTCCTTCGGTTTGGGCCTTGCTACTGGGAAACCTGAAAAACATAGATTTTGAACATCAAAAATCACCAATTAGAACTTATAGAACTTAAAAATAGTTACATTTAAGTTACATCTTACTTACGAAGCCCTCCGGCTAACTTAGTTTTAAGTAATTTGTAACTTCACCAAGTAAGTTACAAGTGTTTTAACTAGGGGGCCCCATCTTTGTAGACGGTCCAGCACTGGTACTGTGTTGGCCACCGCGCAAGGTTGGGCAGCGGGCATCATCAAAATAATGTCAGTGTCGTTGAAAGATGTTGAAAGGAAGAACCCAAAGACAACTATAATTTTTAGAGCCCTTTTAGTTAAAATTTTCCCATCCCATCTGAAGTATTTGGGAGAAGGTTTCAACCTTTTGGCAGCATCCCTGGTGATGCTCGGGATGCAATGAAACACTTGAATATGGCAGATACCATCGACGATCTCCAACTCTTCGGGTGGATCAGGATTCTGGTTAGGGATGAGAACCCAATCGGCAAGGCGTTCTGATGAGCAAAGAGTTTAGCCTCCTACATCCGGGATTGGGAACTTGGGATCAGATGGAATCAGGATTCTGAGACTCAGGATCAGGTTTCAGGAATTAGGATCACTGGCCTGGCATCACAATAGACTGCAGTGGGGTCGGGTTTCGCAGAAGAACCATGGTGGAAGCACATTGAACACTTTTGCATCCAAAAGTTGAAAGCACATCATTTCACATTGTGGCATCCCAAAGTTGAAAACGCTGGTTTTAGCATGTTTTGGCCGGTGTACTAGCAAGAACTGGCGGCTGGCTGTTTGTTGGTCCATATGTTTGGTGGTCTTTGATGTTTCTTTTGCTTGGCCAGGGAGGTTGTTTGGTTGAAGCAAGTTGCAACTGCACAGAACCACATCAATTCCAAAGTCATTGAGACCAATGACCAACCGTCGTCACGCTGGGCACGGTGTCTTTCGGTTTTGCAGGTTCGATGCCTAGTTTGGGCAGTCCTGGCAGCCGGGCTGGTTGCCTGTGCTGGATGTGGCTTTTTGCACCCTTTGGCGAGAGCTGCGTCAACGGGCAAGGAGGTGGTCTCTTCGAATCTTCGGTCTCGGTGTTCGAGCAAAGTTTTCCCATAGTGTTCCACCACAATCTTGTGCGAGCAGTGAGCAGGGTCCGGATGAAATTGCTCACTTCAGACTGGCCAGCCCTGACCATTGTTGGTCCATGCTTTCGTGAGGACCGTTTGGGCATGAAGATCCATTCGACAAATATCTTTGGCCGCCATCAAATGAATTGTCTTCTTTTGAGGACATGCTAAAAACGGGGCCCCTTTCATTACTCTCGGGCAATCATCCCACCTTAGCGGTGGAGGATTTTGTTTGTGACCCCGAACTTCCTTTCTGACGCTCTCGCGGCTGGCAACATGGCCGGTGGGTTCTTTGCAACGATTGTCGGTTGGGGGCCTCAGATTATCCCATGCATTGCCAGTATTTGTCAAATGTGAGAACATGTGGGATTTGTTGGCTGATAGTCAAAAATAACGAAATGCAGAAGCATTGATTGCAAAGAAGTCAACTGGCTTTGCTGGTTACTTGCATGTCTCAAAAGAGGCCATGCCATTGCACACACCAGTAGCTTTGCTATGGCTGTTGTAACCTCGGTTCTGTCTTTAGCAGCAACATGGAACGGGACAAAGTGTACCAAGGAACCAAGTAGGCGCAAGTAGGGTTGGTTCTAAGCAAGAGTGTGTTCAGGACAGTCAAAGTTTGGAAATTGTGTGTTGTGAATCACGGGACTTGAGCCATACATACCGTGCATTGGTTCACTGATTTCTTCCGACATCTTTCGTTTCGTTGGTGCGTATTTGGGTGCGTCCAGAGTTGGTCGGATCGGTGCATCCAGAGTTACCGATGACCTCTCCACCGCCTGGAGGTCACCGGTGGTCACGACTTCTCTCTCCACCTGAGCTCACTGAAGGCCGAGGCCGAGGCCTGAGCCGAGATGGAATAGAGCTTTTGGTTTTGACATGTCACTTAATTAGTACTAATTAAATCATCTTAAATCCAAAGATTTCTTGGATTTCTGGAATGTTACTTGGGAACCGGCTTTTTTGCGGCAGAACCTGTACTTGGGAACTGGTGCTTTAGATCTACAAACAGCAACAAGGTTCATTGGTCCGGTCCACCTGTTCCTTTCACAGATCTGTCTAAAGATACCAATCACGGGGCCACCGGCGCGGAGAAGGTGTATCTCCCGAAAGGCTTTTGGTTTAGCCTTTCTTGTGATGCGCAGCTGAATACCATGAAATTCCTGGAAAGCACTTCGCGTTTTGCTGGGTTCCATGTCTTCCTTCGCATGGCTGACAGGCGTTTTGCTTGGCTCGAGCCGGGGTGTTTTTTTTCGCGCCATGGAGGATCGGCTCTCCTATGAAAAGACCTTCCTCCAGATCGAGGAAGCTCAAGCTGGTTTGCCCACCTTGCGCCCTAGGAGTGTTCCTCCAAGGGGCAGAGAAGATCTGGAGGTGACACTTCATTTCAGTGCAGCAAGCTTTGCAGGGAATCATCTATCTACCTGGATTTGGTCAAAGCTCAAAAGCACTGTATATAGGTTTGTTGGGAACCCGTCGAAAGTCGGAAGGTTTTTTTTGTGTGTGTGTGTGAGTGTCAATTCCTGTCTCCAAGGAGCACAACCACAGTATCTAATTCTAACTCACTAACTTTCATTCGATGTGCAGACAAGCAAGGGGGTGCAGAGCACAGTGGAAACTGCACCCAACGAAGCTATTCACTGGTGCTGGAAGCAGAGCCTGATCAGCTTTGTGTACCTGCGTAACGTTTCCATCTTTCCCTCTTGTTGAACTGTTGTTCAAGCTGTTTACCCCATTCTTCCGTCAAGTGCTAGTGCGTCTCTGTTCAATCCATACTGTTGTCGCGGACTCAGCCACCTTTCCGTTCCCTCAGCCAAGGTCTAATTGCGTGCAAAGGTCTACTTGCAGTAACGCTGGAGTTCCACAAGCTGATATAGCTCTTGCGAGCATGGATCTAAGTGTGTCCACCTCAGTTCTCACTGGAATTCGCACGGACTCCCTGGTGCGCGTGCTGGCCAGTGAAGACCGCGCACCAGGGAGGTGTAAACGTACCTGCTGTTGTTGATTGGTTGCTGTGGTCCCTTGGTTTGTCTCATGACTCATGGTGGCTCATGTACCGGATGTTTTTGTTTTCTTAGTTCATTCCGAGTCAAGTGCTAAGTAGTCATTCGGCGAGTCACTCTCTGAATATATGTTCCTTCACTGGATCTATGAATCTAAGTGTGTGTGTGTGTTTATCTTGAACTGTTAAGATGCATGAACCAATCAACGCTCGTATTTATCGGTCGAGAGACTGGAGGTCGAGTGACCCTTCGGAATTTTTCAGGGTTCCAAACAACATGAGAAAGACGCAAAAGGAGCTCAAAGGAATGACGAACAATCAGTAAAAAAATCCAAAAGAAATAAGGGGGGTTGGACAGAGCAAACCCCCCAAGAAATCAAGATGGATAGAAAGGGATACAAAGGGTGATCATTCAAAATGGAAAAAACGAACAACAGAATCAGCTAAATTGATCACAAGGTCACAAGGTATTCAATTGGACATCGTTCATCGTTAAAAGAAATTCATGGAAATTCATTGTTCCGGATCATTGCCTGCATGTTGCTTTTGGGTGTTGTGCTAAGATCGTGATAAGAGGGTTCGTGGGCGCATGAAGATGTGTTTGTCTCCAATCCCTTTGAGTGTCAGGAAAACTTATTCATGTTTCATTAAATGTTAATCTGGGAAATAATCCAATGAGTTCATTCAGAATTCAAGAGGAGTTGGCACGACGTTTTCAAGGGGATTCCTACTTAGAGAGCTGAAAGTGATTGAGAAAGAAGCTGCCAGGAAAGGAAAAGATGAGCAACAGGGAAACTTGTTTTAACAGAATATATGTATATAGCTGTAGGTTTGTTCCTGCCTACTTCAAGGGAAACGTGGGCACCTACACAAAATTACTGTACCTTTGCAGTAGTGTTGGCCAATTTTTGTCTATACACATGGTGAGATCTAGTGAGGGTGAATTATTAAAGTCACTGGTAAGTAAGCGCAACAATGTGTTCAAGGAAAGCTCCAGGTTCCAAAAAAACATAATGTCTAACTTGCTTGGAGGTGCAGCCTCCAGTCCCGTTGGAATCGACAATTATGTTTTTCTTCAAGCTCGCTTGTCCGCGTGGCTGATCCTCAGGAAGCAGCGGAATTGGAAGAATTACCAAGTGCACAAGATCCTCAAGCAAACTCAGCTACGAGCCCAAAGCCTTAATCACCAGGATGCAGCATGTTTTGCAGCACGTTCCTGGGATAGCAGGTTATCGCTCGGTTGTCACCACCTTTCTTCCATCTTCGGTTCAAAGACTGAATCGGACTTCAGACAGACTTGGTCGCCCAGTCGGAACACGGGACAGACTGAGTTGATGGTCGATTTTCCAGGTAAGACTTCTGGCGAGGCGCCAAGAACTCGGATGCATCATGATGCATGTGTTTTTAAAGTTTTTAGGCTTCGGATAGAGGTGTTTGGCATGGCACACAAGGGGTTCTGACAACCTCCGACCACCTCTGAGGTTCTGATGCTCGACCAGGAGCTCCGTCTCCAGGGAGTTATGGCCATCCAGACGTGTGCCGAAGGCCATGTATCCTCTTCGTGCGGAACACCTGTCAGATGATTGGTCTAGAAGTCAATTTTAGCTTTGAAGCCAAGAAGGGTCCCAATAATGCATACAATATATTAATACACCATAACATGCTGCAGTAATCATTCCGGAACATATATATATATATGTAGAGGAATAGCCGGATTCAAACAGATACACTAATGTTCAACATGAATTTTCCTATTTGGGAACCACTTTAAAGATGTCCAAGGGGTCATGGAAACTGATTGGAATCTCCCAACTCCTTTAGATGGGGTTTGGGGGAGTTGTCTCCCCAACATCGAGTGGTGCAGTTAAGGAGAGGCTCGACCTGTGGCTTTTGTCACTTGCCACATGAAACACGCCTTCCCAGCTTCAACCTCCAGCAGAGACACTTTCTCCAGAAGCTCTCCGACTCCAATTTTCTCCAGCTGCTTGGAGTACTGAGCTCGGCAACGTTCAGGTTTTTGGTTGATGTGACCATGTGTTTGTTTTTGGTGGTGTGTTCGACTGTTGAAGATTATCGCATTCAGCACACATGAGCATGTTTTGACATTCCTCCATGTGCTTATCTTATGTACGACATGTTTATTTATCCATTAGAAGGACATGGTTTTCTCCTCCAAGGTCAGTTGGGGATCGCACAACATCCAGAGGGGAAACACATTTGAGCTTGGTGATGTTGCTTCTTTGTCTTCCAGTTGCATAGGTCTCTCCAATAACGACTCGTTGTCACCAAGGTTTCATAGAAATCTACCCCTTTCCCCATTGATGAATCAGAGGCAAAAGGTAGCCCCCCAAAAGCTGTTATTTGAGTTTCCACGTAAGGATGATTCTTCCTCATATCCAGCAGCGTGTGGACGAGAGTGAGTTTCATGGTGCGCGTGAGCTGCTGGAACTGCTGAAGCGTGAGCTTACCATCCGCTCTCCGCTTGAAGATGGCGAGGATGGCGAGGGGCATCCGGATGTACAGCGAACCCCACGGAACATTCGCTACGTCCTGGAACGCATGAGCTTGGGAAGCCTTATTGTCTTGGTTTGCGCGAAGGAGATGAGGGGCCATCTGGTGATGGTGGCATCGTGGCTGGATGGGTGTGAGGTCCAAAAGAATGGGATGTGGCTTGAGAGTGACCAAATGGAGTTCCTCATGTGTCACAGTACGCAAGAAAACCGTCAAGTTGTTCAGACATGCACTCGCCCTGTGTGGGCAAGCTGGGGTTGATAGGCAGGTCATATTTCTCAGTCACTTCCTGTAGATGCAACACGAGAAAACATAGGAGTGCGTACAACTCAATTTGATTGGCATTTGATGTGTCTCTGAAAGGTCTAAGGTTTGGGTGCGCAGTACTTTTGGGTTCCATATGTTTGTTTCGGGCCAATAAGCCAAGGCTGCAGAGGCCTTGCAGAGCTTGCGTGCTGAAGTGAAGTTTTTGGAGAGAGCAGAGGTGTGCAAGACCTAGAAAATACATGTCTATCAACCAACATAGACATGGCACAAGATGGTCTTCTCACCCCCTTGTACCAATGTGCACGCGAAGGGAAGATCCATTGCTTTCTCCGGGTGCAATTTCAGATTGTTGTTTTAGTTGTTGTTTTTTCCGGAACTTTTTGTCCTTTCCCATTGGTTCCATGCAAAGGTGACACGATACTTGCAGGTTCTGCGTGTTTTTTCATTCGAACGACCGGATTTTTTTTTTCACGGCCCTGGACCACCTGTTTGGGCATACAGAGCTCCGTTCGAACTCCACCCGAAAGAACGACACGTGTTCAATAAATCAACCAAACAGAAGATTGAAGGATGCCTTTGACACAGATCATGTCTCCAAATGCAAGCAAGAAGCTTTACACAGGAAAAGTATTGAGTCAAAAGATGATATTGCATTGCATAGCAGGGTCTCCAATTGCAGGAAAGGGCAGGAAAAGACCTGTGTGTTCCCCAATGTTCCCAGCACGCACAAAAAAATAAGAACCCCAATGCTACTTACTACTTGGACAGCTCTGCCGACACTGGTTTGCACTGCAGGGGTGCTTTTTCCTTGTCCTGCAGGAAAGATCTGGATACCAAAGCCATGCGGCCATGCGTAGCCATGTTGTGGTTTTTGCGGGATGTTTGCATTGAAGCAAAATTATCCACAATAATAATATCTAAAAACAACATAAAAACTAAACAATAATTCAACTAGAAACGACCGTGCTGAACCCCTCTACAACCCAAGCTGACATTTCCTGGGTGGAATGGCCAGCTTGGCCATCAGGAAAGTAGCTTGGCCTTCATCGCCCATGTGATTTGTTCGTGCGACGTGTGAGTTTTTAGTGCAATCATGAACAATAAACAGCAAACATGGAGAAGTGGCTTGGGGTCTCTTCGCTCGCAGGCTCGCAGAATCACACAGAGAACGCAGATTCCCAATGGTTTGCCATCGTTGGGATGAACATATCCATTTGGGGCAAAGGAACATGAGTAACTTGGGTTGCAAATACCAGTGGCTGCTTTGGCCTAAACCCTTTCAAAGAGGTCACATACCCTCTGTCTAAAGAAAACCAGAAGCTTGCCTTTCTGTCTAAAGGACCTGAACCGGTCACTGAAAAAACCAGAAGCTTGTAGCAAAGGAGAGCTGAGACAGCCTTGAGTCTTAATGACATGATGATCATGATGAGCGCATGGCTTGGATGCCCCTGGAGATCAGAGATGATCAGAGTATTTTGAAGCACATTTAAACCCTTCCGGCCAGCAACGAACACATCGCATCAAGGCCTCCATCCACCCTGCAGATGGTTCATTTCGTCTAGCGACACGGACTTGAAGCGATGATTGATCCAATCAAGACCTCCACAACAGAGAAAGAGGTTTTATTCATGGGAGAAGGATGGAGAAGGTCCATCTAGGAGGTGTTCCGGAGCTCTGTCTCAACAGAAATTGAAGGTTCCACATGTATCTCCTGTGGTCTCTTGAGCGAATGCGAAAGCGTCGATGTTCGCCATCGAATAGAAGTCCAGAACTCCTCTTTGTGAGCATGTGAGAATAACCACATGATCGACCCCACGGTTGAGGGGCATGATGACAGAGCCTAGAAAACCAGTCAATAAGGAGTGAGAGAGAGAGAGAGGCGTGTGTACTTGGTCTTGCTTAGGGTGATGTTTATTTCCCCTACAGGTGAATCCCCTTCTGGGGAAGAGGTGTTTTTCTCGGTTCCTGACGCAAATCCAAGTGACAGACAGACTGCGACGGTGAATCGCAAGAAAGTTCGATTCTCAATGGATGCCTTGATGGTGAGTGCTGGCCATCCCCTTCCAAGCAGTGTTCCCAGCTTGGCATGAGAAGCACTCACCCAGCATTGCGTCAAGTTCAAGGGGTCCACTGCGGTCCACGGGCTGTCATGTCACTGGTGAAGCCTGGTGAAGTCAATACGAAGAGCACCTCATTTGGATTCTTCAAAGTAAACGAGCGACAGAAACTTCAATTTCATGTCGCTTTGAAGATGCCCCGAACCCACACAAAGTCCGTTGGACGAAGTTCATGGCGCTCCTCGAAAACGGCGACGCTTGGTGTAGCGGGGACGAATGTGGATCACCGAGGTTTTTTGGAAACTTGGCGCTCATGTGGATCAGTGTGCTATAACAAAATGCGCGAAGGGATTGGTCAATGGTGGCTCGGGAACCAACCAGGTGGACCCCTTGGACAAAGCGAAGCAAACCTTCGTTCGTTTGGAGTGGATCCTTCTCAGCTAATCATTAGATTGTGTTCCACCTGTGAAAGATTGTGCCCTTGTTTTAAGGATTGGATATACCATGTCCTTCAAATCTTGTAGCGGTGATGCATTCAAAATGTATTGAGCTTTGGTACTTTCAGGTTGCAGTCACCACCCCACCAGCTTCTGGGGTGATGTTCTTATAGGCTTGATTGACTGATGTATCTTGGCCGATGTCAACAGGTGCATCGTTCAGCAGGTGGATCGGATGTCAACTGCCACGTACAGATTTGACATCGACTTGGCTGCGGAACCCGGGGCTTGGAGCTGACAATGAAATTGTGTTGCTCGGCGAGAGCCCCAGGCGTATCGCGCCACGAGGGAATTTCGAAGTACAGTTGCAGTCATGATGTCAGGAACGCGCCTTGTGGACTCTGGACCATGAATTGTTTTGGAGTAGCATCGTGGTTGCTGTTCACCTGTGTTTTCGGCACCAAGCGCTTGGGAGTTGTCCAGAGACGCAGTGAGACACGGACTGCACAAACAAATTTAGCACTGAGACAGGTTGCTCGGCAATTGGCCGACACTGTAAAGAGTTCCTGTCGACACTGCAATTGGCCGACACTGCAATTGGCCGACAGCGTCGCGTTGGCAGCAGGACTCCTAGATTGAAAAGGTCGCATAATAGACTTATGGAGGAGACTGGCTACTCCACTAGCCCCAGATTAAGAGTTTGGAGGACGCTACTAGGGGCTCCTGGCCTTACTACTAGGAGCAAGGACGCTACTAGGGGCTCCTGGCCATACTACT